GGGCCCTGCCATCCCCTGGCCAGTGCGTTCCCCCACACTGTCTTCTCTGTGGCCTTTCCCAGCCAGTGAGAGCCTCACTATGAGGGGGAGAGTCCCAGAAGCCAAACACTTTACCCCACTGCCATCCCCAGCAAGGCCTAGGGTGAGTCCCGCAGGCCTGGGTGGTCGCTGGGAAAGGCTGGTGAAATGTGGCACCTGGCTGGTGAGGGCACTGTGGATACTCCGGTGCCTCAGCTCCCCGTATGAGAGCCTCGGGGCTGGGGATCCCCTCATGCAGCTCGTTCAGAAAGAAGGTTGGGCACGGAGCTTCTTACCAAGAAGCTAAACCTTCAGTGTCTGTCACTCAGAACATGGATGGCACTCCGCACCGACTCGTTTGGCCACATACAGGGTTGATCTTGATTTGGGGAGTTAGATGGAGAAATAGAATGTGTGAGAGGGAGTAGGCACCACGGGCAGGTGTCCTGAGTTTGATGTAAACCATCCAAGCCAAAGGAAGTTTTAATCAGCCCAGCCAGGAAGAAGCCAGGGCCAGGCCAGCAGCGGGTGGGACGGAGGGGGAGCGTGCCTGTCACTTGAGTTGTGGCCACTCTCAGTCCAGGGCAAAGTATAACTTTGTAAAAGCACTTAAGGATGTGAGTGGTTTTAACCTCCTGTTGGAAATTTTATTTCTTCTTCCCCCCTTTTCCTTGTCCTGGGTTCTGAAATCCAGTGGCAAAATGCAGAGAACGTTTGAGTGAGTGATGTGCACATTTGCGTTGAACTTGGCTCTTGTCAGATTCCGGCATCTATAGTGGGAAAGTGGGCCTGGCAAGGACTTTGGATACAGACCCTTCCACATGCCCCTCTCCCATTACCCTGAGACAGCATCAGGTTGTCAGGCCCTTTATGGGACATAGTGACATTGTCAGGTTCTGAGCCTGGTGGCCCCTGGTCCCAGAGCTCCTTTGTCCTTCCTCCTGCAGCAGAGCCCAGGCCCTGGACAGTGCTCGTTGACTAAGAAGCTGCGGGCATTCACTGTCACCCCTCAGCCTGGCTCCGGACCTCTCTCTCTCTTTTTTTTTTTTTTTTAAGATTTATTTATTTGAGAGAGCGAGAATGAGAGAGAGAGAGCACATGAGAGGGGAGAGGGTCAGAGGGAGAAGCAGGCTCCTCGCCGAACAGGGAGCCCGATGCGGGACTCGATCCCGGGACTCCGGGATCACGACCTGAGCCGAAGGCAGTCAGTCGCTTAACCAACTGAGCCACCCAGGCGCCCCAGACCTCTCTCCTGATGAGAATCTGGGAGAGTGTAGCCTTGCCCCTGTAGGGTGGTATCAGAAGCATTGCAAGACCCCTTCATTTGTTTAAAAAAAAAAAAAAAAAGGAAAAGATTGTATGGGAAGGGGCGTGAACTCAGAAATTTTTAGCATTTTGATAGCACAGTCCTTCCAACCATTTTTAAGGCCTAACCCTTCCAAAAGCATTTCAGGTGCATTACGGCATTTAAAAGGCTGTAGTGTTTGACTTTCAAGGGATAAAACCGCAGAGATTCATGCAGAAGATTCAAAATGAGTAAATAGGACCCAGGTGTCTGGGTGCACGTGCTGAATTTAGCCACAAGTTCTGAAGGGACCAGGGCACGGGTTGGGTTTGGCGGAGCACGGAGCTGGACCACCTGGACAGCATGCAGGGCTGGCGCTTCTTTGCGGGTGCCCACGTCCCACTGTTCAGACGCCGAAGAAGGGGCTGGCCGGTTCTCAGGCCCTTCTCAAGGGAGGATGTGCCCAGGTTGGGGGACCTCGGCCAGAGGAGTGCGGGGGTTGGGTTGGCCTGGTCGGTGGTCCTCGTCAGAATTGCTGTGAACAGCCTGCCGCAGCTCAGCTGAGTTAATCTAACGACTTTTTCTCTTGTCTGTTTTCTTCTTCCCGTCTTCCCGTTTTTGTGTGTCTTCCACCCGGATCCGTAGTGTAAGTCTGTGTTTAGGTCCTACTCCCAGGACTTCGTGCCTCACGGCCAAGCTTCTGCTCAGCCTTTCCTTCCGCCTACCTCCTCTTCCTCTGCACATTTCCCCCCCGTCCACCAGCCTCAGAGCTCTGACTTAGTGGTGCCAGCCGTGGCCAGTCTGCCTCCCAGCACCGTGGACGGGCCTCTCTCATCTTCTCAGGAGAGCAACTTTCATGGGAACACTGTCCGCCTTCCTTCCGAAATCTCTCTCACTGACTCGCCCCAGACGCCTTCGGTGAGAACTCAGCACACACCGCCCTCCACGTGGGGCTGCCCGTTCTGAGAAAGCAGGATGGCCGCTCACGAGCCCGCCATCACCGCCCGTTGCTGGCACGTGCCCGGTAGCCGCGGGGCTAGGTCCGGGTCCCCGGAAGGTCACAAAGTGCGGTAGTAGCCTGTCTGTCTCCAGAACAGAAGTGGGAACCTTCCGTACGAAGTTCCCGTCAGATGGGGAATCTGATTTTCCACCAACAGATTAGTGACCAGTCAGAGACAGTCCTGATGCGCATGAGGCAGAAAATGCTCCCGCTTGTCCGTTGGGTTGTGCGTTGTTAGAGAAAGCCACCGACGCGTTTGGAAGACAGATGCAGACAGGACCCTGACGGAGGTCAGGGGTAGTGGCCTCTGCTGCTGTATGTGGTGCTGATGGAGGGTCTGCTGCCTGTGCCGTTGCGCTCGCTGAGTTCTTCATCGGGGCACGGGGCCACCACCTTGCAGGGCGCAGGGCGCGGCCGCGTGTTGACCTGTCTGGTGTTGCCTCTCTCCTTCTTCGGCCTGCCGCTCCCATGGCACTGGGAGCCCCCTCTGGGGCAGCTCAGAGAGGAGTGCGCCTCTGGGGCAGTTTGAATGGCCCTCCCCCCCTTTGGGGAAGATCCAGCAGGAAGGTTGCGTCCCCTGTAACACAGAGGCAAGAGGTGGCAAAAGCGGCAGCGTTCTCTGGCCAGGGGGGAAGCTTCCCAAGGAGCAGCAAGGGCCCGCTGCTGCCCCTTTGCCTCCCCACGGGAGGAGGGCCCCAGGCAGGGCCAGCCCGGTAGGCCACTCTCTCCGAGCCGTGCCGGCTGCCTAGGGGGCCTGTCACATGTGCACTTCCTCTCATCCTGTCTCCCCCAGAGTGAAAACACCAGTGAGGAGGCTGGTGAGGGTGAATACGTCAATCTGTATTCCTCTGGCCAGGGCAGCGAGGAGCTGGTTCACTCTCGAGGAGTAAGTAACCTCGGGGCTGCCTCGTGCATGTGGCCTGGCCTGGCAGGGTTGGGCCCTGCTTCTGCCTGGCTGAGCCTCCCGGTCACTAGCAGGCTGGGGCCCTGCCGCCTTGCCGAGAGCCAGCATGGCTCCGTGGGGAGAGGACATGGCTCCTGGAGGAGGTCCTCCCTCTGCTTTCAGTGCGTGTGGCACTCTTCAGGCCACAGGGGTCTTCTGGAAATCTGCAGAGGCAGCATGGTGTTGGCCTGGCCACACATTGGTTGCTCTCCGGGATTTCTTTCTATCTTGTCTTCTAGTGTTGAGGTCCATCTTCTGTCCCCTACCCAGAGGGCGGGAGTCTTTTCTCCTACACCACCAAGCCTCCCGAGCCTTCGCCCCCTCATGCTCCCCCCCGGCACTCTTCTTCACCCCCACAGGAACAGCTTCCTCAGAAGCCGGGTGGGTCTGGCATTGAGCCCCTGCTGTGTTAGTGCACCTCCCTCCTGAGAGCGTAGAGAAACACCTGATGTGGCCACCTTTGGTTGACTTCTGTCCCAGCTCGATACGGCCGTTCTGCTGAGCGGTCAGCTCTCTGGGTTTTGCTGCAGCAAAACATGAACAAGTTCAAAAGCTTCAAAAAATAGTGAGTCCCTTGAGAGGAGGTGCTATGAGGACTCGAGTCCACCCTGGTGATCAGCTCACGGGGCCCAGACCATTAAAAGTATGGTCACTCCTTGTAAGATGCCCCCCCACACCAAGGGCATCCCCACAGGATCTTAGCTGTCCACACAAAAGCAAGCCCCACTTTAGGCATTAGCAAGTCATAGAACATTGGAGTTTTCACTCCGGTGGGATTTGACCCTGTCCCTGGAAGCTGTTTCTCTTCCGATGTTCGCTCCTCGCCTGTCCGCTCTGGTCACCTGTGCCCCCGCGTCATCCAGTTTAGCCTCCACACGATGGAGCCTATCCCTAGCTGGCCTTCCGTGGCTCTCCCCCTCCACCCATGACCACGTTCAGTGCTGACTTTTCCTCAGAGCACTGTCCCTGAGGATAATCCGTGTATTCATGCCGCCCTGCTCTCTGTTGTGGCCTCGGTGGCAGACCAGGGATGCCAGATAGCCATGTTGTCACTGAGTGGGGTGGGCCCAGATTACCAGGGCCAGGCCGCTGGAGGAGAGGGGGTTGCACTCATGCACTTGAGCAGTTAGACCCCTTGGAACCATACTGGGAGGCAGTTGAACATGGCAGTCCTGAGGACTTGGTTTAACTAGGAAGTCAGCAAAGGTTTGCTGCATGCCGGCAGGGCACCGTGGTTAAAGACACAGGTTTTGGAGGCAGACAACCCTGGGTTTGAATGCAGTCTGTAGCCTTCTAGCTGTGTGGTCTTGGGCAGGGCCTTTAATCGCTCCCAGCCTGTGTCTCTGTGTGTGAGTGGGCACAGTGACGCCACTGAACAGACAGGGTCTTGGTCAGGGCCAGGTGAGAAGAGGTACATGAAGCCCTTAGCACAGTGCTTGGCTGAGCCTGGCCGAGTAGTGGCAACCGTGACAGTCCTTTCTTCTAGGAGGTGCTTGAGATGGCTTCATCTAGGTTGGCAGCTGACAGAGGTCCTAAGTAGGGGCACCTTCACTGTCCATAAAGGCAAGATGCTAGTCCGAAGAGGGCCTTGCCCTTCCTGTGTCATTAACCACATTCACGGTTACCTTGTTCACATGTCGGATTGCTCCGTAGGAACTTGCGCTCGGAAGCCACTTGCAGGCGGGAATGCTGGGAAACAGATCCTCCCAGCATGGGGCACCTGTCACAAACCCAGTACTGACTTCTCTTTTCAGGAATCACCAGCTATGAAAGACGGACATCCCAGAGATCCCTCGTCGGCCAGCAGCACGGCCGGGAAGGAGAGCAGAGACAGTGACAGGTAGGGAGTGACCAGGTGGAGCAGGTTCCTTGAAAGCTGCAGGCCCGGCTGGGGAGGGCGGCCCCTTGCCCGCCAGCACTCCGGGCCTGCGGGAGCTTGAGGTGTACACCCTTTCCTTTCTTCTGACTCGCGCAATTCTGTGTGTTCAGGGTAGAAAACATAGCAAGTACAGAAATGTGTGAGTCAACCGGATACGTCACTGATAATCCCACCCTTAAAGGCCTTCATTCTGGCATGCAGTCTGCCTTACTTCCTGATTATGTGTTCACATACGATCTGCTCTACAAATGACCCATGACAGTCTTAAATCCCAGGCCAACCTTCCTCGGCCTCTTCCAAGTTCAGGCGCACTAAGGGGGTGTCAAAGACCACCCCCCCAAAAACTTACTGTGAGTTACTAGATGTGGTGTGTATATTGTGTTATTAAACCATTTGAAAGTAAGTTACAGACATGACACACAGCCCCTGAGTACTTCAGTGTGCCTCCTAAAATATTTTAATTTTTTAAAACGGCTTATTTACTTTAGAGAGAGAGTGTGAGCATGTGGGGGTCGGGGTGCGGGCAAGAGGGGGAGAGAGAGAGAATCTCAAGCAGATTCCCCATCCAGAACAGAGCCCGACGCAGAGCTTGATCTCACGACCCTGAGATCATGACCTGAGCCGAAATCAAGAGTTGGACGCTTAGGGCGCCTGGCTGGCCCAGTCAGTTATGCATCTGCCTTCGGCTCAGGTCACGATCCCAGGGTCCTGGGATCCAGCCCCGCACAGGGCTCCCTGCTCCGCGGGGAGTCTGCTTCTCCCTCTCTCTGTACCCCTCCCCTGCCTGTGCTCGCTCTCACGCTCTCTCTCAATAAAGAAATATCTTTAAAAAAAAAAAAAAAAGAGTTGGGTGCTCAACTGACTGAACCACCCAGGCACCCCTCCTCCTAAAATAGTTTAAAAGCCTACCAGATGACGATACCACCATCACACCTAAGAAAAGTGATAATGGACCCCCCCGTACCATCTGATACGCAAACCATCTTCCCCAGTTCTCCCTAAAACTAACTTGTGTAGCTTATTTTTTTTAGAACCAAGACCAGTCAGGAGTCAGTACATTTAGTTGTGTGTCTCTTTAATCTTTTGTAACATTTTTCAGTATTAGCACAAGTCACACCGGACCAGGTTTAGAAATATCTAGTAAATATCTCCATGTGTGGGGCCTGCAGATCCACTCTGCCGTCCACAACGTCATGTTGACATCGCCTTCTTAGGGAACTGTTCCGCAAGTTCAAGCTTTTCCTGCCTCTCTAGGCCAAGGTTCAGCTACCTCTGGGGTTCTGGGCGCAGAGCCAGGCAGTACCCACTTGTCAGGCCTAAGCATAAATGGTTGAAGAGGTGGTAAAAATGAAATAGCAAGAGACAGGGATAAAAATAGAAAGCATTCATTCTGTAGGGGCCTGCTGCAGAGGGCTGCCCACCCAGGCTGCTCGTGGCCAGTCCTAGGTGCTATCCGTGAGTCTGCCTGATCCATCTACCCAGGCGAAGATCGCCCCACGGGTTAAGCAGGGGGTGATGGGTTTTGTAGTTGAACACCTAGTAGCAAACGGGGTCTGCGCCAAGCGACAGGAGCCCACGGGTTCTGCCTCCAGCCGCACTGAACCCAAGAGCACCATTTTTCAGAGTTGCAGATGGCCTTTGTAAAAAAAAAAAAACAGAAGGATGAGCACATTGACTGCTTAGAAGAAATTGTGAAAATGTTGTCCTCTTTCCACGAAGGCCAGAGCGCAGACCCGACACTGGAGGGACATGTAGCAGATGGTTCCTCCCAGGACCATGTGTGATTTTGCTCTGGGCCATCCTTGTCTTACTGAAGGCATAAATTTTTATGTCTCACATACTTAGGGTTAAAAATGTAGCCTATGACCGCAAGGCCAGCACGGTGGAAATCATCAGAATGAAATGGGGATACGGGAGGAAATGCTAGGGAAGCAAGGTGCCTGCACACCAGCATCCGTCTGCTCCTGGAATGCCCCCTCGCTGCCCCACATTTCCCCTCTGCTGGGGGTTCTCTCCTCCTCCCCCTTCACCAGCAAACTCCTGCTCAGTGCCGCAGGTCTCCGCTCGGCTGTCCTGCCGCAGGGGCCTGCTGCCCTTCACACCGGCCTGGGCTTTCTGCTCAGGCTACTGCCCCTACTGCTCGTTTTAACGTCAGTCTCTCCTGCCACACCCAGCACCCCAAGGACAAGGGCCAGTCTGCCTGGTTCATGCTTCTCGGTCCCACAGAAAGGTGGCCCTTGGAAAAGACTTGAGGAACGACATTAATAGCCATGCACACTCTCCCCACCCGCTTGCCCTTTTGCTCTTCCTGTCCCTGGATACTGACTGTGCATATGGTGGCCTTGACAGAGCGACTCATCCCATCACTTACTTAAATAGCTCAATGAAACCTTCTTGATCTTTTTTTTCTTTTCGTTTTTTTCTTTTTTTTATTCTCTTTTTTTTTTTTTTTAAAGTAGGCTCCACGCCCAGCATGGAGCCCAACGCAGGACTTGAACTCATGACCCTGAGATCAAGAACTAAGCTGAGATCAAGAGTCGGATGCTTAACCCCCTGAGCCACCCAGGCGCCCCAGTCTCTTTCTTAATCCCTTCCATTGACAGAGCATCCACAGAGAGCAAGAAATGTCCCAAGGTCACACAAGTCATTAGTAGTGGTGCTGGAAATCCAGTCCGTGCCCTGGCTTCCGGCCCCCACTCAGGCCCCCTGTGCTGGGGTGGGGAGCAGTGTGGCCTTCACGTGGGAGCTGCAGTTCCAGGAGAACCTGTTAGGGGCAGTCATAACTCGGAGTCATGCAAAGGGCTGCACTACCTCAGCCCCCTGGTGTTCTGGACCCCAGGGTCTGCTGGACCCTTGCAACACAAACCACTTCTCTCTCTAGGGCCTCAAGGTCACCAGATGGTTCAGAGTTGGCTCGATCGGAGGAGGAAGTGGATGAGCTGTCCCTCATCGACCACAATGAGATTATGGCAAGGCTGACACTCAAGCAGGAGGTGAGTACAGGCCTTGTGCGGTCTGGTCCATAAAGGGGTGAGGGGGCTTTGAGGACAGTGTAACCTTGAGGTGTCTCAAACAGAAGGACGCATGCAAGGCACCAACACATGAGGTGGCCACCCCACATCTCGTGGGCTCTGTGCACGGCGTTTATCCTGACCTGTGCCTGGCCCACCGGGGGTGCTGAAGGATCCTGGGCAAATGGATGGCCTCCTGGAGAAAGTGCACTGTCCCCTTCTCTGACACTTCTAGAGAGTCATCTTGGGCAAGTCACGTCACATCTCTAAGCCCCAGAGGACAGGACTCTGGAGGATATTATAACAGTGAAACCCGTGTAGGGTGCTCAGCATAGAGCCTGAGCGTGGTGAGCCCTCATTAGCATAAGCTGCCTTCACATTTGTATTGACCAAATAACCCACTGTAGTTTTGGTGGGAGGCACAGTCTGATTCAGAAATCTCTGGCCTGCAGCTGCCTCTGTCCTGTGGCTTCTCAGAAGGGCCTTGTGCGATTCTGGAAACACAGAGGAGCCTCTTAATGTGATAGCCCCGACCCAGCCCTGGGGAAGTGACTGTGTTTCTGGGCTCCGGCTCCATGGCAGCGCACACACGGACGCACAGACAAGCAAGCGGATTCTGCCCTTTGCACAGTGTCGGGCTGGGCCGAGCGGAACAGGCAGGGCAGGGCAGGCGGGGACAGTGGGGCAGCTGGCTTCTCTGCAGAGAGAAGTGATGCTTCATGACCCTTGCCAGAAAGTCCTTCTGAAAAATCAGGTCCTGGGCATAGCTACCCTCAGCCTTAGCTGGAAATCCAAGATGCTCTCGGGACTCTGGAGTCCAGGGGTGAAAACACGGATGCCCTGGAGCGGCAGGTGCATCTCCGAAATTGAGGGCCGTGAACCCATGGGGGCTCATGAGGTTGGTTTCCTTCAGAACCAGAGGTTGAGGCGGGGGGCGGCACTCAGGCAGGCCTGGTGCTGTGCTGCTGGGCTCCCATTCCTGGCCCTGCTGACCACTCGCTCTGCCTTATGGACTAAAGCTTCTGTTTGCCCACATGAAAGTAAGACTCTTTACTTAATTGGCAGAGGGCAGCTGGTATCATAGAAGCGACGTCAGGCACAATTGAACGTCTTTGTGACGCTTTACACTCCTCTAAGGGCTCCCTGTGGAAGAATTTGTGAGGTTATGACAAGTGACTTCTCCTTGCACCTGGGGAAACAGATGTAAATTTAGGATGGCTTGCTGCAGTTTTAGGAACGTGACTGTACTTGGAAATAGCCCTGCTGCCTCTACAGTCTTCTTGGGAGTGCCTGGTGGCCGTCCTGCCTGCCTCCCTGTGGGTCCCACCGTCCCAGCATGAGAACTCCCCTCCTCACCTCCCTGCCCCCTGGGTGGGTGAAGAGGGAGAGATCTAATGGTGCCATCGTCCCCCAACTCTGGAGTGACCCAGTGCAACGTGCCCTGGTGTCTGGACAGCTCCCAGGGCCGTCCACCTCCCAGAGGAGTTCTGGTCTGTCCTGTCTGCAGAGTGCAGAGCAGGCTCTGCCCTCGGTCACACTGCTCCCAGGTGAGGGGGGGCAGAGGGAAGGTGGCCCCGGGCTCTCCGCAGTGCAGCGGCTCGGTCATCTCGTCTCTGCCTACAACTTCCTGATCCGACTCTTTTCATGGCTGAATTCTGCTGCACGCCCTCCTTTGCTTTGTCCTTGCAGGGTGACGACGGGCCGGACGTCCGCGGCGGGTCTGGAGATATCCTACTGGTGCACGCTACTGAGACAGACAGGAAAGGTGCAGCAGTGCTCTGGGCAGGGGCCTTGGTCTCTGTCACAGCCCTCCGGGGGTTAGAACGTGGTCTTGGTGCCCTGTGGCCACTGTGCGGAGAGCCCACCCTGGGGATGGGACCAGCCCTCTCAGGGTGCACCCTCCACGGGTAAAGGGTAGTGACGACCCCAAGGGCCCCCAGAGGCGTCAGAGGGTTTGCTGCGAGTGCAGAACCTAGTTAGGTTCTCTGCCAACGGCACCTCAAGTAACAACACGTCCAACGATGTTAACGTTACGGCAACACGTAGGTAGCTGTTTCAGCTTTTCCTGATGTCTGACCCACTGTGTTATTCCAGACACTAGACAGGATTTCACTCGTGGCCTCCACAAGCGGACCCCGGCACATGTTCTGTCCGGAGCCCGGTCTTAGAGCAGTGGTGGCACCGTCCTAGGACGGGCTTCTGATCCATTGACCGGGCTGGAAAAGCAGGGGACCTGCTGTTGGGTGGACTCTGTGCTAGCAAAAGCGTGCTCACTCCACCTCCGGTTCTGGCAGAAAGGGGGAGAGGAGGTGCCATGACCTTGACCTCTGCCAGGACGGGGGAGGGGCGCTGCAGGGCCCACACAGTGGGGGGCTCCCCATACTCCTCTCCCTTCTGCATCTTTGAAAGTTATTAAAAAGGGGATATGACAACAGTATTAAAGCCAGTTCTGGGAAGAATTAAAATGCCCCAATCCTGAAACCCTCACCCACCAACTTTACTTTTATATATGACCATGTCCCCATTTTTACAGCAGATTTCCCCAAATGTGTTACACAGAATGATTCTGGGAATTTTTAAATTATGAAAGTAGTACAGAAATGGTCATGTTGCAGAGAATTTAAAGAATAGAGAAAAAGAAGAAACCCCAACAAACTCACTGTAGCCACTGTTTTGCCTTCTGGGGTTTCTTCACCCCTGGTTTCTTTGGGGTTTGTTTGTTTATTTATTTATTTATTTATTAAATATTTTATTTATTCATTTGAGACTCAGAGATAGAGAGAGAGAGCATGAGCAGGGAGAGAGGCAGAGGCAGAAGGAGAAGCAGGCTCCCCGCTGAGCCAGGAGCCTGATGTGGGGCTTGATCCCAGGACCCTGGGATCATGACCTGAGCCGAAGGCAGATGCTTAACGACTGAGCCACCCAGGCGCCCCCACCCCTGGTTTCTTTGGACTGGGGCAGAACCCGGTCCTGGGGACTGAGTTCAAAGTCAGGCACGCCCCGGCCCGGCCCGGCCCGACCTCAGCTGACCCAGCTGTTTGAAGAGGTCCCCAGTGGACAGGGAGATGCGTGGAGCTGACGTGAGGCCATGCTCAGGAGCAGCCCTCGCTCTGCTGCTCTGCAGCAGACCCTCCTCCACGCGAGCCTGAGCACCAGCCTCAGCTGGGCAAGAGGAACAGTTTTCATTTTTATCCTAAGGACTGAAGTGGGAGCTGGCTCTGTCCCCAGCTTGGAGCAGCAAGCTCTGCTTCCTGCAGTGCAGCCAGCTGCAGCCCCGGCCAGAGGGAGCCCCGTGGGCAGGGCAGTCCAGGGCCTTCCAGGTGGCCAGCGGTGCCCAGGAAAGGAGGCGCTGCTGCCAGCAGGGACCTCCACTTGATTTCAGTCACGGAGAGATTCTGAGGCTGCGGGGAAACAAAGTCATTTGTACGTGGATGGATGGTGGGGGCAGAGGCCCTGGGCCACATACCACGTTCCTTGGGCCGTTGGCGTCCTGTGGACCGGAGACCACCCTAGTGGTACTACACTGGATCACCCACGGCTTAGGGCATGCAGCCTTGGATCTGTTCTTCCAGAAGCAGGCAGTGGCCTGTGCTGGGCCCATCTCTGCCTCCTCACCTAGCCCGTCTTTGAACAAAAGTCCCAGTGGGCAGGGAGCTGGTGAGTTTAGGATCCAGGAAGGAGGAGCCTGAGCAGGATGCTGTCGGGCCATGCTCTGTGCTTCCAGCCAGGCCCACCCCTGCACAGACCCCAGATCCCAGATGCCGGAGCAGGTGTTGCTTTTGCTTTCAATTGTCCTGGAGCTGACTGGCCAGGGCACGGGAGCCTGCACTGCTGCGCTGGAGAAGCGGGGACCCTCTCGCGTCTTCCACCTGGCGAGCTGGGGAATGAATGAGAGAAGACAGGAGAAGGGGGTCCGTGTCCAGAGAAGAACAGCCTTATCTTAGGTCTCTCAAGATGTGGAAATTCCCAAGATTTTTGTTCCTGGGCCCTCCCGTCTAAAGTATCACCTATGATTTAGCTTCAGAATTCTGCTGATGAGTTTGAATTATTTTCTCTTTGCCCACAATTAATACCCTTTGAATCATCGAGTCTTAGGACAGATAAGAAGCTCTTGAGGTGTGGTCAGGGATGGCAGGTATGTGCGGCAGGCGAGCTGCCCATCTTTGTCTCCTGCCAGTGGCGGGCATCACTCATCAGTTGTTCTTCGCTCTAGATTTGGTGTTGTACTGTGAGGCCTTCTTGACCACCTACAGGACCTTCATCACCCCGGAGGAGCTCATCAAGAAGCTGCAGTACAGATATCCTTTCCCGTGGTCCCCCAGCCCTGGCCCCACACCCCTCCCAGCATGGAGCCTTGGGAGCCAGCCAGGAGAGAGAGGGCCTTTTTTGCTGGCTCCCCCGCACCCTAGCTTTGGGACCTCAGGCCAGGCTTTCTCTTCCAGTCTCCTTCCTTGTCTGAGTGCTGAGTGGGATGACAGGAGGTGCCAGATCATGGGTATGCTGCCCGACAGCAGTTGTGGTCACTCGGAAGTCCTGAAAAGGAGTTAGAAGGAGCTGACACACCGCAAGAGGGAGAACGCACTCAGGCTCCGGTGGAGGCCCAGGTCGCTGGCACCTGCAGCTTCTGAGCCGAGCCCCAGGCCATTGAGGTGATAGGTCCCAAGTGTGCGGGGCTTATGGGAGCCAAGACTCACATGAACAGCCTCGGGGGAAGGCACAGTCACTCTGCCTGGTGGCAGACCCAGCAGTTGACAGACCATGTCCAGACAGAATTGGCTCCTACCCGTCACCCGTATCTGCCTCACGGGCTCACCCTTTCAAGGATGACCGTGCAATAATGGTTGAGGAAGACCCCAGGCCCTAGGACCCAGCGTCATTGACTTTTATCTCAAACCTGCTCCTCCTGCAGAGGCTCACCTGAGCTGCTGCTATTAACAGCGGGCCACCTTCCCATGTCACAGCCCACGACTGCCATCTGCTGGAAGCTGCTACTACCCGGGGCAGGAAGTCCTGAGTCCTCCAGGCTGTCCCCCTTCCCTTCCTGCGTGCCCTGAGGCTCGACCTCTTGTCTCCTCTGGACCTCTGTGGCTCCTTTCACCGTCCCCGTGCCCCAGCCCTAGAGGACCTGGTCCCTCAAGATGGAAGGAGCCCCCACTGCAGAGACTTATGTTCCCTATAGCCTCACACGTTCAGTTGCTCCCAGGCCTGGCTCAACAAGTGATAGTAACTCACACTTGTTGAGAACTTCCTAGCGTCGGACAGGACGCTAAGCCCGTGCACGTGAAGGCTCACTTAGCTATAAAACTACTTGATATATTATTACTGTATTACATATGCTGTTAAATTACTACCTATTACGTGATTCAGGAAAACAGCCTCGGAGAGCTTAAGTGACCCATACACACTCCTGAGCTCAGGTTCCCAGCCCCTACCCTGCACGGCAACTGCAGGCTCTGGGGACAATCCTTGGCGCGAGGCCCCTTCCTGAGCACCCGTGGATATCTGAAGAGCAGGAAGGACAGCCAGAGCAGGGTCTGAGAGGATGGCGAGAATCTCTGCCCCTCCAGGCAGAAACCACTACCTTGGCGAGGAGCTAGAGGTGGCCTGGTGTGTGGCTGCTGAGGGGCAGGGGCGTCTGAAGCTGCGGAGAGACGGCTGGGAGGAAACTCGGGGCAGGAGTGCAGGAGGCACCTGGGGACCCCCCCCCCAGTCCCACTGAGAGGGTGTTTAGGGCATGTGGTTTTTGACCACCTTTTTCCACCTGAGGCTCAGCAGGGCAGCCCGCGGCGTTTCAGTAAGTCCCCCGGGAAGCTTGGGGGGACTGGACGGAAAGGCAGTGGAAGCAGGGCTCCTGTACATCATAAGCACCCTGGAAACGGCAGCTGGGAGAAGTAGCTGTCCTCTCTCCTCAGCCCATCCCTGCCTGTGTGAGAATGGCTTTCCTTAACCTACGCTCCACGTACGAGAAGTTCTCTCCCTTCGCCGACACATTCAAGAAGCGCGTCAGCAAGAACACATTCTTTGTGCTGGTGCGGGTGGTGGATGAGCTGTGGTGAGTGCTTATGCCCAGGAGGTGGCAGGCAGGCCGGGGCACCTCACGGCTCCCCACCGGGGCTGCAGGCTTCCTTGCTGAGCTGGGGACATCCCGTCCCATCCCCCCCCCCCCGCTTCTCCCAAGCTGTGTGCCCACAGAGCCCCACCCTGCAGCTCTGATACGGGCTTGCTCCCGCCCACCTGAACAAGACCCTTGGGGAGAATGACCCAGGTACCCATACCAGCCACGGGCCACACCGCTTTCCTCGTGGGGGGGCCGTCCCTCGCACATGCAGCGTAGCCTAGTCACCCCCACCTCTCCCCAGACTCAGCAGTCACCGTCACCATTCACTTAACAAGTGCACGTCCAGCCGCTCAGTCTCCTAGGTCTGGAGAGCCGTGGTGAAGGAAACTGCCGGCCCTGCCTTCAAGGCACTTCCTTTCTGCGGGGAGAATGGCCTCAGCCCAGGCCAGCACCGAGACCACCAGGCACGGAAAGTGCTGTGCAGAGGGAGTTCAGGAGCGGCCTGTGGGCGGCCGCTCTGAGGGGCCTCGTAGTGATTCACCACCCAGGCAGGACCAGGGGCCTCCTCTGGGGCAGGATCGGAGTGGGAGTGTCTCCGTGGCCCCGGGCCCAGACGGGGGCCCTGGAGCTTGTCCAGTGCCAGCAAGCATTTGCTGAGAGCGGGGCCGTTCTGTGTCACCGGCAGGACGGGACCTTTCCTGGCGCTTTTGAGGCTCCGGGTGGCCATCCCGACACCTTTTCTTCCTCTCTTCCCTGAAGAGGTTTCCTAGACCTGCTGGTCGCTGCCCTGTGACCCTTGGGTATTCTGAGGTGGATTCTGGGCCCGATGGCAGCCGTTCTCTTCCTGGGCCGTGTCTTGGCCCCTCACTGTGTGGCCTTTGGCCCTCTAGCCTCGTGGAGTTGACAGAAGAGATCTTGAAGCTGCTGATGGAGCTGGTCTTCCGCTTGGTGTGCAACGGGGAGCTCAGCCTGGCCCGCGTGCTCCGGAAGAACATCCTGGACAAGGTGGACCAGAAGAAGCTGCTCAGGTGTGCCAACTCCGACCAGCCCCTGGCAGCCCGGGGGGTGGCCGCCAGGTGAGCCACCAGCTGTCTGCCCATGGCTTCTCCGGCCCTCCTCCACAGGAGTGGTGCCCGGTAGCCACCTCCCCAGCCCTAGAGCCTCTCTTCCTGGTTCTGACCAGGCCCTGCAATGGGGGGGGGGGGGGGGGGGGGGGGCGGTTCTTGTGGACAGCCCAGTGGGTTCCCGAGGGCCTGGGCCTCTCCTCCAGGGGTGTCATGATGGGTGATTTAAAAAACTCCCATTTTCAACCTGGAAGTGAGGAAGCAGGACCTGGGGACACTTACTAGGACAAGGGACAGGTGAATGCATTCCGGGCTGTGGTCAGCTCTTGTCTTCCCGGCACTAACGTGGTAGCTGTGAATTCTGGACCACCCCCACCCCCCAGGCCATCCTGAACATTCCTAACCTGTACAGGCTCTAGTCTGTTACCTGTGCCCTAGTCATAGGTGTTGAAGCATCACTTCCTTGTCGGCGAGTGCTTCAGTCTTCATCCCTGTGGAGCCATCTCTGTTCCCGCTGGGCCCCGGCCGTGGGGCCAGGCTGAATTCTCAGGCAGCACAACTGCCTGTGGGAGCCATGGGACCCACCGGGCAGAGGCACCACGGTCCCCAGCAGGAGTGCAGTCTGGTCCTGCCCTGCCACTGGTCGGCTCTGAAGCTGCCGTCCTCCTGCTGTGAGGCCAGGCTTGGGGCGGCTGCTCGCTCTGGCCGCCCAGCTCTGAGGCCGCAGGACGGCGCCCAGCCAGCTCCCGCTGTCCCTGTCCCCACCACTCATCTCATGCCTCTGTCTTCTAGGCCGGGGACTTTGCATGACTTTCACAGCCATGAAATAGCCGAGCAGCTGACCCTGCTGGATGCTGAGCTCTTTTATAAAATAGAGGTATGGTGTTGAGCAGGGCTGGGAAGAAGGCTGTCCCTTGCCCCGGGGTGAGCAGCTGCTGCTGGTCCCTAAGGAGGAGAAAGTGCCCGTCATCGGGAAGCCATAGGGCTCCAGCTCCATCCGGTCTACTTCCTTTTTCAGATTCCTGAGGTTTTGCTTTGGGCAAAAGAGCAGAATGAGGAGAAGAGCCCCAACTTGACCCAGTTCACGGAGCACTTCAACAATATGTCCTACTGGTAAGAAGCGGCGGCTGTGCGAAGCCCCGGTTCTCTATCCCAGCACGTCTGGCTCGGTCCCTGTGCTCTCCTTCACACAAGGAGGAGGTGCCCTTTTCCTCCCAGCTCCTTCCGAGACCCTGGGCTTTACTTGGAACTGCAGGCAGCAGAGAGCACGCTGGCTGAGGAGGAGCCTGGGACAGGGAAGAGAGCCGGGATTGATTAGTAATGTCTGCCGTAGGTGGCGGCAGGGGCAGGGGTGTTCACTGTGCCATCCTGCGCTGGTCATGGCCCAGCTCCCCACTGCCTGGCGACCTCAGGGCTGAGCCTCACACAGATGCTGCCTGAAAGAGAACAGCAAAGGAGTGCCTTCTGTTAATACTTTAATTAGGCCTGAATTCTTAAAGCAAAATGAAGCCCGAAGGTACACTTATACCATAATGTGTAACAGAATGGTTGGCTTTTCAAGATGTGACTTAAAGGTGCCCCCAGCCTCTCTGCATCAAACAGAGGATGGTCAGAGCGTGGTAGCCACGGAGCCCACACTGCATCCAACCCCACCCTGCACCCCGCCCATTGCTGCCACTGACGGAACATCTAAGATTTGTTAAACGCTCTGAGGACTGCTTGTTGGAGGGAACCTGGGTCATGTTCCACTTTGCCGGCTTTTCTCCCCACCACAGGAAGTGCTCCGCTCCTCAGGAACGTGAGCTGAACTGTAGCAAGCCACCACAGGAGGCAGGGGCTTGTAGGGCAGACAGAAACTGCACACAGCCCTGAGCCCAGCCTCCGACCCAGCCCCCTACTGGGCACACGCCTCGGGGTTCAGCACACGCCTCGGGGTTCCAAGGAGGAGGTGCGGGGGGGGCCCCCTCTGAGGGGACTGGCCGTGGCCATGTGAAGCCAGAGGGTCTCCAGGCCACGTGAGGAGCATTTCCAGCCCCAGTGGTGCTCAGGTCAGCACTTGTCAGGAAATCTCTGCTTGGATGTTACAAAGCCTCCATCTGCACACACGGCCCGGGGTCCTCATCAGGCTATGTGACCTCTCAGCCTACCCCTGGGATGCTATGAGCTCCTCGAGAGCAGAAATGGGGGGGGGGGCTGTGCTTAGCACCTCAAAAGCCCTGGGCATGTGGTGCAGGTGTCCACATCCCTCTCTCTCCACTAGGACCACCTAGGGGTTCCTAGAAGGAGACCGGTCAGTTCAGCCATCTTTTTTTCCCATGGGTTCCTGCAGGGTCCGGTCAATAATCATGTTACAAGAAAAAGCCCAGGACAGGGAGCGGCTCCTGTTGAAGTTCATCAAGATCATGAAGGTAACGGTGGCTGCCCTCCCCAGAGTCTCCTCCTTCAGGCCCTGCCCAGCAGCCCTGGGCCTACCTCACGGCCGCCTCCCCCTCCCTGCAGCACTTACGGAAGCTGAACAACTTTAACTCCTACCTGGCCATCCTCTCAGCCCTGGACTCGGCTCCCATCCGCAGGCTGGAGTGGCAGAAGCAGACCTCGGAGGTGAGTGGCGGGGAGGGAGGAGGTGGGAGGCCCTGCCCGGCCTCTGGCGAGCCAGCCGTTGGGGAAGGTGCTCATGTGTCTGCTTGGCCGCCAACCACCCCCCAACCCCACCCCCCAGTTTGCTGTGGCTAATCTCCGATCTTTGGGCCTGGAGGGGCTGTGGTTGGTGTGGTTGGTGCTGGGATTGTCCCCTCACAGGGTCCTGCTGCCTGGGCTGCAGGATCATACCTGGGTCCCTGCTTCGCTGCTTTCTTCCTTCCTTCCTTGCACCCATGCTTCCGGAGGGGCTGCTCTGGGCTGCCAGCAGCATTAGTCCTTAGGAACATACTGTGAACAGGCCAGACCTGTTGATGATTTCTTTAGGGTAATTGCCAAAGGGGAAAGTATGGGGTCGTCTGGCCCGTTCAAGGGTCAGGGAGGTCCCCTGAGGAAGGGTCAGTCACGCCAAGACCGAAATAGGAAGAGTTTGCTGGGAAGGAAGGGAATTCCGGTCAGAGGGGACAGAAACGTCTAGAGACTGGCACGCTCAAGCAGCAGAACAGAGGCCAGTGTGGTCGTGTCACTGGGGAGGGGACCCGCTCTGGACCAGGAGGGCTTTGGGGGAGGCCTGGCAAGGAACTAGACCTTTATCCTTGTGTGGGGAGGTTCCTTGAGAAGAGAGGCAAAGCCCATAGGGGCTGGGTGTTAGCCGGGCCACCCAAGTGTTATCTTAAGGGGTGACAGAAAGAGACAGTTGAAAGTCTGTTGTATGGAGAAGCGTGGGACCTTCACACTGGCTGCCACAGAAACACCTAGGAGGTCCTGAGGAGGTGACGCTCCGGGTCCAAGGCAGCTAAAAGGTGAAGAGGCAAGCAGTGGGTGGGAGGGGCGGCAGCAGCTCGGTGAGGTCACCTGCTAAGCCTAGACAGCTCTGCCTTGAGCGCAGCGAGGATCAAAGGCAGGCTAGGAGCCAGGGATGGCCCATTCCTGGTGTGCAAGCCCCCCTGGGCTACAGTGCGGGGTGGCACCCAGCAGGAGGCCCAGCCCCAGGCCCTCTGAGCCGTGGTTCTGCAGCAGGCACATGCGGGCCTGGGAGCCAGTTCTCCGCAGCAGGCCCAGTCTCCCTGTAGCTGAGGCAGGGCCCAGGGCTGGGCAGCGGCGGGTGGGTCGGGGCGGAGGCTGGCACTGGGGCCCCAGCATGGTCTCAGCCCTCACACTGTCCCTCCCACCCAGGGCCTGGCCGAGTACTGTACACTGATCGACAGCTCATCCTCCTTCCGCGCCTACCGGGCCGCCCTCTCCGAGGTGGAGCCACCCTGCATCCCCTACCTGTGAGTAGAGCCCCTGCAGGTTTGCTCCCCGGCTGCTCTGGGGGAGACGTAGGTGTAGACAGAGTAATCCTCCCTTAAGGGTTTCCAGCTCAGACAATTAGACTTCTGTTTTAACTCTAAACTACGTAACAAGGAGCAGGTTCTACTTTTAAAACAGAAAGGAAGGGTCCAATGAAAACAGTCCTGCTGTCCCATCTCCCAGTCCCGCTACCGTTTCCTTCCTGCATCTGCCAGGCTTCCCCCCACCAAGGGTCCTCAGACTTGGCTGCACCTTACAGTCAGTCACCCAGGAGCCCTGAGAGCGTTTCCCCAAGTGTGAGCCATGGCATTGAGGAAATGAGGGGTTTGGGGAAAGCAGTCCTAGTCACATTGGCTGAAGGAAATAGTGGAAAAAGTCAAAGCTAGACAGGTTTCTTTGTTGTCAGAGCCCTTACTAAGCTGGTAGATACTGGGAACCTCCATGAGGGGGCCAGAAGACTCCACAGTGGCCCGGGGTGGGGGCTGCCCTCCCAGAATGCTACCTTGCTTTCCCCTGGGGGGTGGCTGGCTGGGCTCCTGGGAGCATGTCGTCTGGGCCCCATCGCTACCCTTATGGCTTCGCGTCCTCTGTAATGAGAAGCACCTGTTAACAAAGAGGCTGTCCGTGCCTGCCTCCCCCCTGGGTTTGGGTTATTTTTTTTTTCCTGTTCATGTATTAATTTTACAAGGCTCCCCTGCCGTACCTGAGCTGGCTTTCCCAGGGACCCACAGTTTCTAGGTCAGGAGTTCAAGCAGGAAGAGACCAACACAGGCCAGACGTGCCCTCTGAAGCAGTAACTGGGCTTCTCCATCCTCCCAGGGGGCTTATCCTGCAGGACCTCACCTTTGTTCACCTGGGAAACCCAGACTATATTGACGGGAAGGTGAATTTTTCCAAACGGTGGCAGCAGTTCAACATTCTGGACAGCATGCGGTGCTTCCAGCAAGCGTGAGTGCCGGAGCGGGCGGGGGGACAAAGGAGCACTGGGGTCTGTACCCAGCTGGTTCTCCACACACCACATCCAGGGAGGGTGCAGGGCATGGGCCCAAGAAGTGGGGGCAGCAGGTAGAGGGGCGACAGGCTTCTGCTGCCAGCCCTCCACCTGTGCGGAGCTCTGGTGCTGGGACCGTGCGCACAGCCCCTCCGGGGGGGCCGTCGGGCTGCTGGCCCCACACCGGCCCTGACCGGACGCCCCCCCCACAGGCACTACGATATCCGAAGAAATGATGACATCATAAACTTCTTCAATGACTTCAGCGACCACCTGGCGGAGGAGGCCCTGTGGGAACTTTCTCTGAAAATCAAACCTAGGAACATAACAAGAAGAAAAACAGACCGGGAGGAGAAGACCTAGAAGTAGGTGCCGTGAGCGAGGAGAACGCTCGAGAGAGGCTCCGAGACCGGGAGGGACTTTGCACCTGTCCCCGGGCAGGCTGCACGTGTCCCGGCCCCAGGGCCCAGCCAGCCCTCTGCCGTGCGGGGCAGGAGCCCCAGCAGCTTCCTGCTGCGCTCCTCCGCGGGAGCGGTCGCCAGGCCCACCGTGGAGCCAGCAGGCAGGTCTCGTCCTGATTTGTGAACCCGTGGTTCGGGTTCGGTTTCGGTTTCGGTTTCGGTTTCGGTTTCTGCTTTCCCGTTGTCCTCTCTCCGCCCCCCTCCCACTTGGGAGCCGCACAGGGAGATGGGCAGACCAAGGCACAGTGGGACGCTCCTCACCCCTCCCTACATTCTGGGGTCCTGAACCTGCTGAAATGACAAGAGTGGAGGACCCTGAGAGGTGGGGGACCTGGAAGCAGAGGGACTTTCAGTAGGGTGGGCAGAAAGCAGAGAAGACCGGGGAGGCTCCTTTTACTTTCCTTGTCCTGCTTTTTAAATGCAAGATGGTGTGAGCTTTTGATGTGACCCAGAGGGGTTCACCAGGTGGCCTTCCAGTAGGCCTGGGGCTGGCGCTCCCGTCACGGTACTGGCCCTCAGAACCGTCATCTTCCCGTCCCTTCATGTCCCCGACCGCCTGGCGCTTCGGGGAGCTAGGAAGAAGATGGAGCAAGGGAGGACGTGGTTGTACCTGAGCCGGGGCCAGGAGTTCCGGGGTGAGTGAAGTGGGAGAGTGGAGGGGCCTTTCTGTCTTGGGGAAGGCCGGCAGACCCCTCTTCTTTCGCTTGCTGTGTGCCTTAAACTCCATCTCCTGCCCCCCCCCCGCCGCCCCCATGGGCTCCCCTCCTACCCTGCTCCATCCTGGCAGAGCCAGGGGGGGTGCTGCCCTGCCCTTTCCACCAGTGCACAGTGAGCTCTGCCCAGGGAAGGACGGGAGGTCCCTGATGGACGGGGGCGCCCGCTGAGGCTGACCGGCCCCGGCTCCCACCCCGGGGCGTACTTGCTCTCTCCACCTTCCTTGTTGGAAATGGCGCTCGCTGGTGAGGTGGACCGTCGGAGGCAGGTTTGCAGGGAGGTCCCTGCACACGGGCCGGGCCGCTGCCCCCACACCCCTTGGGTGCTGGTTTGCGTGACTGAGTGCTTGCTTCTCCTGGGCTTGGGACTTGGCCAAGCAAATGCCAGGATCGAACTTCTTAAACAACCATGTCACTTTGAGTCCTTCCTGAGTTTTGAGCAGCTTTCTCCACTCTTGTTTTGGGGTCCTGGACATAGAGGGGAGGACATCCAGAACTGCCAGTGGAGCCCCCTCGCGAAGCAGGCTGGCCGCTGCAGGCCAAACGTGTCACTTTCTTATTTAAAGCGTGTGGTCTTTGTTCTTCAGCGGTGCTGGGGTGGGCTTGGTGCCCACTTTGAGTCCCCTCACTGCGGTCTTGTCGTCTCCCTTCCCATCGCTCTGCTGGATGCTGCTGCATGCACGTGCGGGCGCCGCTACAGCCCCAGTACTGATGCGGACTCTCCGCCTCCCGCACCTGTCAGCAGATGGTGGGGGGGCTTTACTTTCCCTCCCCTCTCTTCTGGTAGCCCTGCCAGGTGGAGGGAGCAGTGTTCGGGGGACGGGGAGCCCGTGGGTCAGGGTAGCCCCTGCGTGAGGACCGCAGGGGCTGTATGTGTTTAACTTATTGGTTGACAGGCTCCCCATCCCGCGCCTCCTTAAGACATCCTCCTGGCTCTGGGAGTTGCCCCACCCTGTGCCAGCCCCGCAGCCGGGCTGTGATTGGTCTTGGGGGACCAGGACCGGGTGTCCCTGCAGGTGGGGCTGAAGCCGGGGAAGGGTGGGCACATGCCAGGTCAGAAGGAACCCAAGTCTTCAGAAGCACCTCCCTCTCCTCCATGCCTCGCCCCTGTTACATTGTAATATATATATATATATATCCCCACTAACCTGGCTGATGGTGGCATCTTCCTGCAGACATTTCAAACCTGTAACTTTTATATGAAAGGAAAATAAACACAATGAAAGCTGCGTTCACGTGACAATCCGAGCTGCCCCTGCACACGTCCCAGTTCCCACACCCGTGTGCGGCTCTTGGGGCCATCTGGGGAGGGTGGGACGGAGTCCACCAGCCCGTCTGGATTTTCCCTCCTCGCTCTTGTGCTCTGTAAGTGGATTAATGCAGAAGTCCTTTGCTGCGCGCCTCCCCCCTCCCCAGCAGTCTGGTAAAACTGAAATTTCTAGGGTGGAATTCAGGGGACACAGAGGTACCTGGAGCTACTTTTCAAAGCCCCTAAAGCAAGGTCTTTGAAGGCACGCCTTCTGTAAGATTCCATCCCCCTCCCACCCCCAAGGCAACACGCACAGGCTTGGAAATAGCCCCATAGGTTCCGGTCTTCCCTCTGTCTGACGTGGGCTACCTCTCCTCCACTCATGATGAGCCGTGGACTTAATCCCAGCCTGTGTGTCATCCCCCTTCACTGTCCTGCCCATCTCCCAGTGTCCAAGAAAGAAAGAAGCAGTCAGCTGCTGAGTCCTCTACTCGCTGCCAATACCAAGAACCAGCCTGGTCTGGCCCTAACTTCCCTGCAGGTGACTAGGAGGTCACAGGCCAAGTGCGGATGTCTGGGCTGAGCCTGCCACCCCCAGAGGGGACTAGGAACCTGCATGCTTAACCCAGCAGTTCAGGAGGCTCAGATAACCTCAAATCCATGTCCAGCCATGGGTGGTACAGGGCCAGTCTTCTGGGGGTGTGATGGCCCCACCCGGTTCCCTCCAGCAGGGTGAGAGGCAGAGCCTTGCACATTCATTTAAACCATCACTCACTCATCAATTTGTTTCATTCACTAGGGGTACATGATTTAGGAACCCGGTCAGGCAGGGTTTGGGTCATTCTAGTCCTGCATTTGCTGGGGATGCACTGGAGGAACTTCTAATAAGGGCTCTGGTCCTGGTTCTGCAGCTTATAGGTAAGTGGCCCCCGCTCTGTTTCCCAGTTTTTCCAGCTGGGGGTGGGGGTAATAACAGCTTCTACCTCACAGGTCTGTAAGGCTCAGGGAGTTAATACCTAGAACAGGGTCTGGCAAGATTATTTATATGCACATACACAGAGATCCTAGGTCCCAAGCACTCTGCAGACCACTTTACTTCATTCACTCTTCTTAACCAAAATCCGCCCCCCCCGCCGCACCCCATGAACTATCACAGCCATGGTAAAGTGCTACAGAGAAGAGGTACTTCATTTGCATCAAGTCCAGACAGGCTTACCAGCAAGTCGTCCCGAACAAGTAGCTTCCGTCTTAACACACACGCCCCTGAGAACAAAAGGGGAAACACCTCTCAACTCGTCTTGAGTAGAATACAGTCTTGACATCAAACCCAGACAACAGTCCAAGAAAAATTACAAATACTTGCGCAAAACTTCTAAAATAATCTTAGCAACCCCAAACCAGCAGCATATAAAAATCAGTACTCCCTGGCCACGCTGGGCTTACCCGCAAATGCAAGGATGGAATGTCAGTAAGCTGGTGAACGTTCTAGAATTCTTATGCTCAACAGCTTATTCGGGTGCCCACATCCGGAGCACCTCTCCTTCCTGGGCACAGGGGAAACTTTGCTTCCCAGCCCCCCCGCAGGGAGGTCCATGAGGAGCCAGACACATGTCACTTGGGCCTGGGAACTCAGCACGTGTGCCACCTTCATGCTTTCTCTTTCTCCACCATGACACACTTAGATGACAGAGTTCCAAGTGGAGGGAGACCAGACAGGGACCACCCCCCAGTGTCCCACACTAGACTATACATAAACAGAAAATGAACTTGTGCGAACTAATCTACTGAGATGTCAGGGTTTATAAATTTTCACAACATGGCCTAGCTGCTCCTGAATGCACCATATTAACACATTAAAGGAAGAACACCACATAATCACCTCAGTCGTCAGAAAGGCCTTTGTTAGAAATGCAATACCCATAATTTTCGTTCAAAACTCTTAGAAAATCAAAAACTTTTAATCTGATAAAAGTCACCTTCCAAAAATCCTATGCAAACGTTATACTTAACGTTAAAATACTCAGAGCATTTCCTTTAAAATCAACAAGTTAAGGATCCTACTTGTACTGGAGACTCTAGCCAATGTGGCAGGAAAAGAAAAAAAAATTATTACTAAGAAAATCTCCTGGGCTGCCTGGCTGGCTCAGATGGTAGAGCATGCGACTCTTCATCGCAAGGCTGTGGCTGCAAGCCCCATGTTGGGCATAGAGCCTACTTCTAAAAAAAAAAAAAAAAATGAAATTTAGGGGCGCCTGGATGGCTCAGTCAGTTAAGCATTTGACTCTTGATTTCGGTTCAGGTCATGATCTCAGGGTCATGAGACTGAGCCTTTCATTGGGCTCTGCACTGGGCATGGAGCCTGCTTGGGATTCTCTCTCTCTGTCCTTCCCCCCCCCAACTTGTGCACTCTCTCTCTCAAAAAATAAAAAGGAATCTTCGAAGGTAGTTAGCTATAGAGTCAGAAAAAAAAATTGAATATGTTTCGATAATACAATCAACAATTAAAAACCAATTCTTGAAGGCTCCCATTTATGCTGGCATCACAGGTCTTAAGTGAAAGATTTATCCTCCAAAAAAAAGAGGATATAGCAATTGTAAATACTTTGGTACCAACATAGGAACACCTTTATACACAGCAAATATTAATAGACCTAAAGGGGGGAAAGGACAGCAATAGAATAATAAAGGATTTAAGTATGCCATTCACATCGACAGGTCATCCAAACAGAAAACCAGTAAGGAACCATCAGCCTTGAAGGACACAATAGACTAGAAGGACTTGCTAGAACGTTCCATCCAAAAGCAACAGAATACACATTCTCAAACGCACATGAAACACTCTCCATGGAACACAGATGTTAGGCCACAAAACAAGTCTTAATTTAAGAAGATTGAAATCCTATCAAGCATCTTTTCTAACCAGAATAATAATGGAACTAGAAATCAGTTACAAAAAGAAAAACGTGGAGAGTAAACAACATATAACTGAACAACCAGCCGGTCAAAGGAGAAGTCAGAAGGTACCTTGAACAGGGCGCCCGGGTGGCTCAGCTGGTTAAGTGACTGCCTTCGGCTCAGGTCATGATCCTGGAGTCCTGGGATCGAGTCCGCATCGGGCTCCCTGCTCAGCGGGGAGTCTGCCTCTCCCTCTGATCCTCCCCCGTCTCATGCTCTTTCTCTCTTGCTCTCTCTCTCTCAAATAAATAAAATCTTTAAAAAAATACCTTGAACAAATGAAAATGGAAACAACGTATCAAACATACGAAAATGGAAACAACGTATCAAACATACGGGGTGTAGCAAAAGCAGTTCTAAGGGGGAAGATGATAGGAAAACACTAAAACAACCTGACTTAGAAGCAACCTCAAGGAACTAGGAAGAGAACAAATGAAGCCCAAAGTTAGAAGGAGGAAGGAAATAACAAAGATCAGGAATAGAGACTAAAAAGACAAAATTGACAAACCTTTAGCTAGACTCCCCAAGAGAGTACTCAATCAGAAATGAAAATGATGTTACAACTAAAAAGGGGAGGGGAAGTGCACCTTGGAGCTTACTTAAAAAAAATTGATGTTACAACAGATACCACAGAAATACAAAGGATCGTAAAGAGACTATTATGAACAATTATATGCCAATAATTTGACAACCTAGAAGAGGTCAATAAATTCCTAGAAACATAAAACCTATCAAGACAGAATCGTGAAAATTAAAGAAAACTGAATAGACCAACTACTAGTAAGGAGACCGAGTCAGTTCATCAAAAACCTCCCAACAAACACAAGTCCAGAACCACATGGCTCCACTGATGAACTCTACCAAACAGTCAGAAAATAGAAGCAGAGGGAACACGCCCACACTCCGTTTACGAGGCCATTACCCTAATACCAAAACAAGACGAGCAGTCCACAAGAAGAGAAAATCACAGGCCGGGGCACCTGGGTGGCTCCGTCGGTTAAGCATCTGCCTTCGGCTCGGGTCATGGTTCCAGGGTCCTGGGATCGAGCCCTGCATCGGGCTCCCTGCTCCATGGGGAGCCTGCTTCCTCTGCCTGCTTCTCCCGCCCTTCATGTGTGTGCTCACTCTCTCTGTCAAATAAAATCTTAAGAAAAAAGAAAATCACAGGCCAGTGGCCCTGATTCACACACATGCAAACATCCTCAATAAATGATAGCAAACCAAATTCAACAATACGTTAAAAGGATCACGCACCATGACCCAAGTGGAATGGGATTCCAGGGAGGGTTCAACACACACAAATGTGATACACTCACTACATTAACAAAATGAAGGAAAAAATCATAGGACCATCCCAGTAGATGCAGAAAAAGTGACAAAAGTCAACATCGATTTATGATAACTCTCAACGAAGTGGGGATAGAGGGAACACACCTCAACATAAGAAAGGCCACCCTACACGACAAGTCCACACCGAGGATCATTCTCACTGGTGAAAAGCTGAGAGCTTTTCCTCGAAGATCAGGAACAAGTCGAGGATGCCCACCCTCACCACTGTTGTTTGACGTAGTCCTGGAAGTCCTAGCCACAGCAATTAGGCACCAAAAAGAAACAGAAGGCATGTACATTGAAAAGGAAGAAGTAAAACTCATAATTTGCAGATGAGACGATATCATATATAGAAAACCCTAAAAGGTCTGCCAAAAAAAACTTGAAACTAATGAATGAATTCAGTGAAGTTGCAGGATACAAAATCAAAGCCAAAACTCCATTGCATTTCTAGCCACTACTAACGACCTATGAGAAAAAGACATTAATTAACACATTTACAATCGCATCAAAAGAAAATACCTAGGAATAAATTTAACCAAGAAGGTGAAAGAGACCTACCTGTACTCTGAAAATAAGACGATATTAATAAAAGAAATTGAAGACAAATAAACGGAAAGCTACCCCGTGCTTGTGGGAAGAACACGTTAAAATACCCATTCTGCCCAAAGCAATGCACAGGTTCAGTGCAATCTCTG